CTCTGCAATGGCTGAGTGTTCGTCATCGGAATTAGTTCCTCTGGCTAAACTCTGATAGTTGATAGGAGGAATGGCTCCTGTTCGAGTCCGAGTACGTTGGTAGATTCCTTCAAACTCGTTAGTGATTTCTCTGACGCTTGGAGAATGATCTGTCTCTGACTCGTCAGAACTAAGGGTTGATGATCTCCCTCTACCAACCATGTTAGAAGTGACTCCAAGGTATTCAACCTCTAAAGTCTTCTTCCTGTGATGATGTCGTCGATTATTGAGCAAAACGACATTCGTCGGTCGGTTGAACATCGACAGCAATTCCCGCAAGTCAGAGACTTGGGATGAACCTCTCACAGAGCGTGAGGGTAAAGATGGAACCCCCTGTCCATTAAAGGATGAGACTGGCTCCTGGTGAACATGGATCTTGAGTCCACGTTGATCTTTTTGAACACGACGAATCGCATCGTGTTCTGAAGAAGAAACACGAGGGTCGTGTTCTGTTTTACTAACGCTAGACCGAAGTCTGCGTTTTGTTGATGAAACGCACCTTTGCCGGTTGCGTTTTTGTTGGTTAACGCAGTTTGTAAGTCTGCGTTTTGGATCTTGAACGCACTCCTGAGAGTTGCGTTTTGGTTCTGAAACGCACTCCTGAGAGTTGCATTCCGCCAAATCAACGCAGTTTTGAAGGCTGCGTTTTGATTGCACAACGCACCACTGAGGGCTGCGTTTGGCATAAACTGAGCCCACTCCTTTAGAGGTAGGGCTGCTCGAGTAATCTCGGCGACTAAAGGAGAGGGTTTCCTTTGGCATAGGAGCAACCTTTGGAGCTTTAGTCTCCTTGGCACCTCTCACAGAGCGTGAGGGTAGAGATGGAACCCCCTGTCCGTTAAAGGATGGGACTGGTTCTTGGTAAACATGAATTTTAAATCCATGTTGATCATTTTGAACACGACGAATCACATCGTGTTCCAAAGAAGGAACACGGGGGTCGTGTTTAGCTTGATTAACGCAAGACCAAAGTCTGCGTTTTGCTAGTGAAACGCAGTCCTGCGATCTGCGTTCGGATTCAGAAACGCACTCCTGAGAGTTGCGTTCAGTTTGTGAAACGCACTCCTGAGAGTTGCGTTCAGTTCACTCCTGAGAGTTGCGTTCAGTTTGTGAAACGCACTCCTGAGAGTTGCGTTTTGGTTCTGGGACGCACTCTTGAGAGTTGCGTTCAGCCAGATCAACGCAGGTTTGATGTCTGCGTTTAAATGATAGAACGCACTCCTGAGAGTTGCGTTTGGGTTCTGAAACGCACTCCTGAGAGTTGCGTTCTGCCAAATCAACGCAGTTTTGAGGTCTGCGTCTTGGCATTGAAACGTGCCTCTGAAGGCTACGTTCTATCTGGGAAACGCACACCTGAGGGTTGCGTTTAGCTTGGCTTCTGCAGAGCTCATGTTGAGGCTCGCAAACGCGGAGTTCGCGTTGATTGGAGGATCGGCTTTGGAGTCGTGCCGAAGTCGACTCTTCTCCTTTAGGGAGGGGACTGTATGAACAGTGCAACCCCCATGGGAGATAGTTTTTAGATGAGTTGGCTACAACTGGAGCTTTAGTCTCCTCGGAAACTTTGTGGATCTTGCGCATAGCCTTGGGGCTAAGGGATCCGGAGGAGAGGATCTCTTCGTACTTGGCTTGATCAAACTCGATAATCAGAGTTTCAACGGTCGTTCCAGTGAGATGAATGTCGGATTGCGCCACCACTTCTTTGTCAGAGAAGCTAGTCCCCAGCGGAGTCGCCATCTTTTGTTGGTTGGAAATTTGTAGTAAAAAGACAATGAAAGAAAAATTTGACTTGTATTCCTCTCAAAATCAATTACAATTTGGATTCCGATTACAAAAGAGAGGAGAATGAATTCGATTCTCCCCTTTGTTTAATTCTGGGTTCTTCACGGTGGCGATGAGATGCCTCCCTCGAATGCTCGCGTCGAGTTTGCTTCTCGTTGACGATCCGAACGTTTTGATTCACTGGAACGATGTCATCTCCTCACGATTTGACGCTGTGGAGAACTTGCGTGGCAAGTTTGAAAATAACTCTTAACGAGTTGATAACTCTGAACGAGTTTTAGGAGAACTTGCAGAGCAAGTTTCGAACTCTGATCGAGTTGATAACTCTGAACGAGTTTTAGGAGAACTTGCAGAGCAAGTTTTGAACTCTGATCGAGTTGATAACTCTGACGAGTTTTAGAAGAACTTGCAGAGCAAGTTTTAACCGAAAGTTCGGTTAATAAGCCAAGGAAGAAGCTCCTGTTGCTGGTCTCCAAAACTCCTTGTTGCTGCAGAACGCGGCAAGATGCTCGATCAAGGATCCCCAAAAAGTCAGCTCCCCCCCTCCAAAAATCAATTGAGTTTCTGATATTTATAGGGGGGTTACTGATGGTAACTACCCCCTTAATCCGCTCCTAAGTGGGGCGGAAATCCCTCAAATCGTGGGGGAAAACAGTTTCTAGAACTGTTCCATTCTTGTTTGAATGAGTCAAACGCTAAAAGATAGCGTTCATGGCCCGAACTCTGCGTTTTTAGACTAAAAACGCAGAGTTGGGCCTATTTTAGTATCTGAACGCACAGGCCGCTCAGCGTAATGAACTCTGAGACGCAGAGTTAGGGTGTTTTAGGCTGAACGCACAGGCCGCTCAGCATGATGAACTCCGAGACGCAGAGTTAATGGCTGAACGCACAGGCCGCTCAGCATGATGAACTCTAAGACGCAAAGTTAGTGGCTGAACGCACAGGCCGCTTGTGCGTTGGAATTCAACTCTGCGTCAAGAGTTTGGGATGCATGGATGAGTTGAAGAACGCACGTTAGGTGTGCGTTTGTGCTTTAACTCTGCGTCACAGAGTTAGATTAGACGAATTATATATGAAAATCGGCTATCTCGACGAGACGGGGCCATCCGAACCAAGCCAAAGGCTTCGGTTCGCTTTCTCCGTTTTGCCAAATTCCTCACGGTTTGAGAGATATCTGCATTCTAATATGAAGAGAAAGTCATTTTGTAGTCTCTTTTGCTAGAGCTTTGCACAGATCGTCCTCTTGTAATCTTCGTCTTGGCTCCTTGAAAATATGAGAGTCGTCAGATTGTAACTCCCGATGTTGATTGTGAAGGCTGTTGAATTGGGGCTTTCATTAGTTGTTGTGAAGGTCGTCAGATTGTAACCTTCTACGTGAAAGTCCTCAAATTGTAGCCTTCTGGAAGTCGTCAGATTATAACTTCCATCATCGGTGTTTTGATGGGGGATAAGCTATTTATTGTGATTTTTAGACAGCCTACAATGACATGTTGGAGATTGTGAAGATCCAAGTAAGCAAGAACCCGGATGACATGCTTACGAAGACTGTCACTATGGAGAAACTGAAGTTGTGTTCAACTTCAGTTGGACTCATTACTTGATAATATGTGAGGTCGTTGCCGCAGGGAAATGTCATAAAGACTGAAAGTTAGTCTCCAAGTGGGAGATTGTTTGGCTATGTGGAGCCAAACTATCAGACTCAGCCCTATTCGTTGTATTGAAGAGAAAAACATGCAAGAACAGAAAAAATGAAGCAGGCAACGCTTTTGGTGCTGTCCGGTCGACCGCGAGGCAACGTCCGGTTGACCGGAAAACATGCACACTATAGGGTGTGTTTCTGCATTCTGGTCGGGCGACCGCGAAGCTAGGTCCGGTCGACCACGGACCTTGTAATTGGTTTCCTAAGATTTTGATGTTCTGGTCGGTCGACCGCGCCATTGTTGGCGGTCAACCGCGACTCAGGTTTGGGTCTGGGCTCGTTTTCTGGTCTGTTTGAGATTCTTGTTTGTAAGAACCCTATGCTATAAAATAGGTGATTACGACAGCTTGTAAACTAACCTGAGAATTGTGAAACATTTTTTTACGGCGTCCGTGGACGTAGCTTCTCTCGTTGAGAAGTGAACCACGTAAAATTCTACGTGTTCACTGTGATTGTTCTTTTTTCTCTTCCTCGTCTCTATTTTTAAATCGGTACAGAGGTTAGAAGACCCAACGCACTCTTCCTAATTGTTAAGAGTCACACTACTCAGAATAGGATTATGGCATCCTTTTAATTTACTTGTTTGAAATTTGTTTGTGTTCTTTTCAATGTTACTGTAGTAATTCATGCCCACAGTCTATTTTTTGTTTTCAGGAAAAAGTTTGAAGCTCCAAAATATTTAACTAGTGAACAAGCAGCAAAGTAATTCAATTGATTAAATAGGAGTTGGGTTTAGAGGTTATGCTTCAACTTTTAGCAGAGGTACCATAATTATTTAGGAGACGGCAAGCGCACCAAGTTTTAAAACAGAGCAACTTACGAGGGTAAAAACTTGAGCTACATTGCCTTTTCTAGCTCTTAAAAACCAACCACTACGTTGCAATCTACTTGAAATACAGAACACAATTCGTGGAATCCCCAAGTAGAAGTTTATATGCTTCGACTTCCATCAAACTACTAGGGTGCATAATTAAAAGACCAATCAAGACACAACAAGTACCCTAGCTAAAACAGAGCAATTTACTAATTGTAACATGCATTGCAATAAATTTTTTTTAAAAAAAGATTGATGTACTATGTATCATGTCATGGTCCATGTGTTATATACTCGAAAGAAGACACCAAACGAGCTTGGCAGGACTAAACTATTAGAAGAATAACACCCATTGATTAACAATCACATATATTCTTGAGAATCATAATCCTTCATGATCTACAAAGATTCTAACCATACTGATATCTTAATAGCTTGTGAACCTCTTAATCCAAGAATAATAGCTTGTGACCCACTTAATCCAAGAACAATCACACAGAAAGATATGCAATAACTTTTCACGTTCCATATAGAAAGGTAGACAAAAAAAACATACAGTTGATATTTCTCCTTTCTAATTGTACATAGAGCTAATTACAAGACATAGCTTCATGTATAGGGAGGGCAAGAAAGCTAAACTTGCAATGCTTTCAAGCCCTAGAAGGTTTACGAAAGAGAAAACGCTAGGGGAAAATACAAAGGTGGGGGTCTAATTTTGTTGATTTCTCCTACCTAATTGAATACACATATACTACTTATTTCTAAGTTCCATACTCAAACTCCCCCCCACCCCCTTTTATTCATGGGGGGTGGTTGGTCATGAGATACCCTTGTGTCATATTTACACTCTAGGATACCGCTTCACAGAGAGCCTCTTCCACTCAACCAAGCGATGTAAAAAGTCCATAACCTATAGAAACCATACAAAAACATCAACATTAGCAAATTGCTATCGTTTCGAAACAATGAGTTGCTATAAAGTGGTCCTTTATTTGAAGAGGACAGTCATAATATCCCAAAGCACTAGACAAAGAGGCTAAAGAGAGCACTTGCCTCAGATGGCTCTTGGAGAGAGTAAGATGCATTCGTCTCCTTGGGAAATTTGGAAACAAGGATGCCGAAGCCTTGTCCTCTATCGCGCAAAACCTAATACAGGGCACAAAACAAAGATACATGCAGTATTAGCGACACTAATCATTAGTTATAGCTAAAGCAAGATAATGACATCTACTTAAGTTTTTTTTTTTTTTCAAATTAAGAATGATCATATTGCCGGTATTGTTACCTTGAAAGCGTCCTCATCAGTACGGTCGTCACCGATATACACAGGCAATACGTCGTTGCACTCTGCAAATCCTAGAGTAATACATACGAAGAATAAAAAAGAATTAGAACTACCCTACAATCATTATGCACTAACAACCGGCACAACGTACTATAAATTGACAGGTTTCTCAATGAAAATGATGCTGATGTAATGTATCTTAATGAAGACTTAGAGCTTACCAAGTGACTCCAACAAAAACTCCAAGGCCTTGCCCTTGTCCCACTTAATAGTAGGACGAATCTCAAACACCTGACCAATTCAAAACAAAAACAAAAACAAAAACAAAAAAAACCCCCAAGTTAATAACAACTCAAGTCACATTCAGAGTTATAATCTAGATGCCAAAAGAAAGCAATATCTAACGAAATGACAACCAATAAAAACTCTAGAGATATAGATAAGGGTACCTTTCTCCCTTGAGTTAGCTTCAACTTAGGATACTCCTTGAGCACTGACCTCACTTGATCAGCCAATGCACTCCATCTCTGAACCCCACAACGGAAGAAAAAAAATGTAAATTTTCCATTTATGGCATAAAATATGAAGTTGGTGCTCAGAGATAAAAAAGGAATAATTTATCGACCTTTTCATCAACACATCTGAAATGGACAGACACACAGAACTTGTTGTTCTCCACTTTGGCCCCTGGGGTGCCCTTAGTTCCCTCCACTAGAGCCTTGTACACCTTCATAAAGAAGACCCAGCAACAATCAACTTCCAGTATTAATCCGGCCCATATGTAACAAACTTATACAAGACGGCACGATGCAAACAAAAAAATAAAAAATAAATAAATAAATAAAGATACACCCACCTCATCAATCATGGGCAAGAACTCACTAGCTGGCTGAAAAAGCACAGCCTTCGCCTGTAAGCCACACAAATTCAAGAAAATTATATAGGAAATTGCATCAAAACAGAATTTCTTATAGAAGAAAGTTGGGAATTTGAGAGTTATAAGCTACCTTTGTTTTGGTATGCTTTCTACCTCTAGCAGGACCCTTGATATCCATGCCGTGGCTGCCGGCATAGTAAAGCTCTGCCAACTTCACAAAATCATAAACCTACGGAAAATGAACGGATTAAACAAATGTTAGCTCGACTATAAGAATCGAAATGGGCTAAACGAGAATGTGAGGGAATGTACCTTGTCTCGGCATCGACCGCTGACGATGGCGGTTGGAAAATACTTGGCTACACCTTTAACAGCGTCCCTCATCTAAACAAAATTCCGTCATTAATATCCTTCCCAAAAAAATTATTTCCAAGGTGCGGGGAGGGGAAGAAACAGAGAGAGATCAAGAGCGGAATGGATCGGCTCACCGATTCGGACATGAATGCGCAATCCGGGTCGTCGACAATGGGGGAGAGGGTGCCGTCGTAATCCAAGAACATCACGATCTGCTTCCCTTTGGAAGCGTTGGTGATCTCATTGAACATGGCAAGAGCAGACGGATGCCTCAACTGCAAACGAACAAAAACAGAAACCAAATTTTAGTCCCACATCGGGTAAAAGCAAGCCCGAATAATTGGATAAAGCCAGAACACTGACCATCCATGTGCTATTTTCATTCGAACGATGATGGGGGCCGCCGCTTTAGCAGTGAGATAGCGAGGAGCTTATCGCTTCCACCACGCATTGTCGACCGCCGTTGCACCTCGGCGGCGCAGCTCCACTGCGCCAAAAATTCTTCCTCATGCGCGCGCGCCGCGCTTCTCGGCGGGGGTAGGGAAGCGGTGAAATCTTGCCGGCGGCACCGCCGCACCGTTAACGCCACCACTCCGGAACACGCTTTGCTTCGTCATCATTCCGGCGATCTCCTCTCTCTCTCTCTCTCTCTCTCTTCTCTCTCTCTCAGAGTAGACAAAGGTGTTGTTTTCCCTCAAATCTCATGGGTTTTTTCTTCCGCGTTTGTTTTTGTGGGAGTTTGGAGCGGTTGAGTGGGTGGATTTATAGTTGGGACTCGCCCCTTCATTTCGCGGGTGGGGCCCAGCATCGGGAGGGCACCAGAGGAATGAGCCCATGCTCCGCCGCCTGCCACGTGGGTGTCCGCACGTGACGGGTTCTGGGGCCCGCGTGGGTGCTCACACGTGTTGGGTGCGGAGAGCGGGCACCGGCACCACCCATGGGATTTTGTTTTTGTAGGTGGGTTCCTTTTATTTGGCAAAGCGTGGTCGAGATTTAGTATTTGCATTTCTACTTATGGATACCCAACTGGTACCTTTTCTGTAAATAAAAAATTGTTTAGTGGGCTTCGTGGCAGTAAAATACTAATGCAGCCTCTCCGATAAACAAGCAGCTCTCTTCACCTACCCCTGTACAAAACCAGCTGCGGGAATTAATTTTTTTTTGGGACAAATGGTCGTATTTGATTATAATTGCACCCTTTTATAAATTAGAAGAGCACAAGTACCCACATTAATGTTTTTAATGAAGTTTAGTTTTGAGAAAGATAGCGAGGGAGCTGTTTTTTTTTCGGTTTTTCTATAGAGTGCCCTTGGGCACTCTATAAGAGAGGAGAGAGATAGAGAGAAATGAATGAGGAGGGGGGCCCCTGATTTGCATTGGGATCCTCTCTTCATTCATTTCTCTCTATCTCTCTCCTCTCTTATAGAGTGCCCAAGGGCACTCTATAGAAAAACCGTTTTTTTTTTTGTTGGATTAACGAGTTCCCCTTTTAGCAACCTTTTAGGATTGGATGTCTTTTTATGCTAACTTGAGCCGTGGTTTAGCCAATGGTATTTGAGTTTATGTTGTAAATGAGGCATGGGCTTTTGTACTAGGAAGTAGTACTAGGAATTTTGAGTACGGTACAAGTATGCAATGATTGAATTCCAACTATGGGAAGTTCCATGGTACGATTGTATTTAGGCTAAATGCATGGCACTTAAATACCATAAAGTTTGCTCACTGTGGCACTTAAATATCACAAGTTGTAAAAAACAACATGTTAATACCTAGGTTGTAAAGAAATAGCACTCTAATATCCTAAGCTGTAAAAACCTAGCACTTAAATATCCTAAGTTATAAGAAAGCAGTAATTTAATAACCTAAATTGTAAAAAAATAGCACTTTAATACCCTAAGTAAATTGTCATGGAAATACTCTTAAAGAGTTTTCCCATAAAAACTAGCAAAAAGGTACTAATATACCAATATTTTACAACTCCTGGTATTAAACTGCTATTTTTGCAACTTGTGGTGTTTAAGTGCCACAGTGTAGAAACTTTACCGTATTCAAATGTCATTTACCCTTGTATTTAAGATGAAAATATTTGGAATAATTTTGGGGCTTATGAATTCCTGCTATTACTAATCACATTTTTTTTACGAGGGAACTTCCCCCACGATCCTTCGGATCATAGGTATCAACACCTCGATTGTCGCTAACGAGCAACTCCCAAACCACGGTCCCGGGTATTCTAGAAAATTATATTCTTGTGGATGCTTTCTAAGAGAGTCGAACTCGAGACCTTGAAGTACTGCTGATATGCGGCTTCCACTCAGTTAGACCATCGATCTTGGGTTGCTAATCACTATATTCTTTTTTATAAACAATGCATAGAGCTTTTTATACCTATGTATATAAGCAAAAAAAATTTAGATTTTAGGAAAAGATAATTTTGGATTTAAAATGTAAATGAACCCGTTACGATTTGTAAACCAACAGTTGTTTTAATTATTTTGTAGGATGGTTTGAGGATTCAAGAAATTCAATCATATTTTACGGATGAAGGATGGTTTGAGGATTCAAGAAATTCAATCATATTTGAAACTCAAGGTTTTCGAGAAATCAAAAGTTTCTAATTTTAGGGTATGAGCTGTCTTAATTATTTTGGAAATGAAAAAAGTTTGTTTGTGTAAAGATAAGAGACATTCAGATAGTTCCCTCTATTATTGTTTTCAAGAAATTCAGATAGTTGGATTTGACACGAAATCTATTTGGCCATTGCCATGTAAGGTGTGTTTGAACCGTGTGAGATGCAGACTCGAGGGTCCTCATCCTGGTCCAAACTAAGGTTAGGGTTATATTGGAACGTTAGGTACGTATAGAAATTATCATTCTAATTTAAGAAAATATTTGACAAAAAAATGCACGACATGTTTATGACATTGGAATCAACAAAATACCACTCATTTCCTTCTTGCCCTAAGGTGAAACTTATTTGTGCATGGGCTTACATGTGAAGGCTTGACCACAGTCATTGAGGATGCAACTGTTGTCGCACATACAGTTATAGTTGCAGACTTGCAGTTGCTTGGTTAAATTTTAAATTTTAAAATTTTGTATTTACTAGCTATGAGCGTATTGATGAGAACCGGGGTCCATTACCATGATGAATTAATATGGATTTAATCCATGGATATTTCGTGGTTGATTACATGCATGCATTGATAGATTGTCTTTTCTCATGCATTGGGAAAAGAAAGGGGTAGTCTTTGGACTTCCCCATGCAATGAATGCGGTTTTACCAAGAGGCATATCCTCCCTATAAATAGAGGGGAGATGGTGAAGGTTGAATGCGAGAAGCGAGAAGAAGAACCAGATACAAGAGTTGTAATCCTCAAGTGAGTTTTGAGAGAAAGTGATCCTCAAGTTAAGTTACACAAACTTGAGAGAAGACCATTTGTAAGCTTTCATTTGATTATAGTAGAAACGGTAAAGAAGGAGCGTGTGAGGACGTAGGCTCAATTGAGCTGAACCTCGGTAAATCTTGTGTATGTAATTTTTGTTTGTATCTCTCTATTTCTCTGTTTTTTTTTCTCTTCTATTTTTTGCTCTCATCTCATCACAAAGACGAGAAAGGTCTTGTTATACTATTAATTTCCCAACAGTGATATCAGAGCAAGGTTGTTAATCTTCTTGTGTTGAGATGGAGACTCCCGTTGGCGGCGTTCGAATGATCAGTTTGAATGGACGCAATTGGATGATATGGAAGACAAAGATAATGGATCTTCTATATTGCAAGGACCTATATGCGCCAGTTGAAGGTGAATCCTCCAAGCCAGAGTCCATGACGGCGGATGATTGGAAGAAGCTCGACCGAAAAACCATCGGCACCATTCGGCAATGAGTGGATGACACTGTATTCCATCATGTGTCAAATGAGACTTCGGCGAACAGCTTGTGGAAGAAACTTGAAGATCTCTACGAAAGAAAGACCGCCGGCAACAAAGCTTTCTTGATTCGGAAGCTTATCAATCTCAAGTTCAAGGAAGGTGATTCTATATCTGAACATTTGAATGAAATTTAAACTATTTGTAAATCAACTTGCAGCCATGAAGATGGTGTTGGAAAATGAGCTTCAAGCCCTTCTTTTTCTTAGCTCATTACTAGATAGTTGGGAGATGTTGGTGGTCTCTTAGCAACTTTGCACCTGATGGAGTTGTATCTATGAACCAAGTTACAAGCAGCATCTTGAATGAAGAAATACGAAGAAAGTCATCTGGATCCTCTCATTCTCATGCTCTTGTTACTGAGAACAGGGGGAGGAGCAAATATCGACAGCCTCAGAATCGAGACAAGTCAAGAGGAAAATCAAAGGCTAGAAATGACATTACTTGCTATCACTGCGGGAAGAATGAACACATAAAACGGGAATGTCGTAAGCTCAAGAGAGAACAAAAGGAAGGAAAGACCAATGAAAAACAAAAAAATGAATGAAAGTGCAGGTGTTGTTAGTGATAATGAAATTGTGCTTTTCTCGGCTAGAAGACTGTGCAAATCTCACTTGCCAAGACTCAGAACAGGTGATTGATTCTTGTACCTCCTACCATGCTACTCCCCGGAAGGACTACTTCACCTCGCTTCGTGAAGGTAATCTTGGAATGGTAAAAATGGGTAACAAAAACTCTTCTCAAATTCTTGGCGTTGGAAATATTTGTGTTACAACTAACAATAGAACAAAGATGGTTCTAAAAGATGTTAGATTTGTGCCCGATCTTCATCTTAATCTTCTCTCCACCGGCAAACTTGATGAAGAAGGATACACGAGCAGCTTTGGTAAAGGATGTTGGAAGCTTACCAAAGGGTCACTTGTACTAGCGAGAGGAAAGAAGTGTCGCACTCTCTATAAGACTCAGTGTCACTTAGAGAATGATAAATTTGGAACAGTGGAAGGTACCTCTATGGATTTGTGGCACAAACGGCTTGGCCAAATGAGCGAGAAAGGGCTACAAACTCTCACAAGGTGACAACTACTTCAATCCATGCAAGGTACAACACTATCCCACCGTGATCACTGCTTGATTGGGAAACAACACCGGGTAGCTTTTGTTAAAAACTATAACAAAGAGAAAATTGGCATATTGGACTTAGTTTATTCAGATGTATGCATACCCATAAATGAAAAAACTTTTATTGGTGCCTCATACTTTGTAACCTTCATAGATGATGCATCTAAAAAGGTGTGGGTGTATGTCATAAAAACCAAAGATCAAGTCTTTAAAGTTTTCAAAGACTTTCATACTAAAGTTGAAAGAGAAACCGGAAAGCTCTTGAAGTGTATTCATACTGATAATGGTTGTGAGTATACTTCAAGAATGTTTGAAGACTATTGTTCTTT